GTGTATAGATGATGGATGGGTGTTAGTCTGTGAGCACAAGGAGTTTATGAATGGCTTGAACTCTTGGTCAGTATCTTGTACATGTCAGCAAAGTTCAAGGAAAATATAACTATAATGAATTAGAGCAGCAACGATGAATTGATTCATTGATTAGCTGTTAAATTCATTGCTGACTGTTAAATCCATCAATTGTTCTGAGAATTTTTTTAAGAGAACTTGATATCCTCTGATTGTAGCTTCTTATTTTTTTCTGGTTTCTTTACTCTTGTATGGCATCAAACTGGAGCTCTTTAGATTGTGGATAAAGCAAGACATTTGACTTTGGAAAACATTGATCAACGTTTTTCACGTTTGTCTGACATTGTAATGATGAAAATATTCAACACAGACAGTGAAAGTAATCATTGTTTAATAATACGTTTGGAAGTATTTAGTTGACTTTGTATGCTTTAGTGTACAAAGGTTTAGGCAGTGACATTAAAGTTAAGATGCTTGAAAAAAATATTTACATCTAAAACCAAAGTGCAGCTAGAACCATCATTTCAGTCAATATTTGGTGTGACCGTCGCTTGCCTTGAAAACGGCACCTGTTTTTGTCATCATATTTTTACACGAGTTTTCAAGGTGCTTGTCAGGGAGGTTGTTCCAAGGATCTTGGAGAACTTACCACCGTTGTTCTGTGGATTCAGGCTGTCCCACTTGATTCTGTCTCTTCGTGCAATCCCAGACCTCCTCCATCATGGTGAGATCAGAGCCCTGTGGGGGCCAGACCGTCTGTTGCAGAACTTCCTGTTCTTCAAGGATTCTGCAGAATGCCTTGGCATTGCTTGATGGATAAGACTAGTAACCAGCACTTTTTATCCTTTGAAAGCAAAGAGTAATGAAGAGGCTGATGGAAATCATGTAAGAAGTGGGAAAAAAAAAATACAAAAGGGATGAAGGGAGAGATCGTTGTACAGATTGAAGGAAAGATTTTGTTGTACAAGCAGGAATGTTACGATAACAGAAATGTGGTATCTGCACCAATACCACTGTTTGAAAATACAGTTTTTTTATTTAAATAAGCTGCTGCACACTATTTTTGAAATTATTGTCATTGCCTCTGTTGATTATTTTCTTGAAATGTCAGAGAAAGGTGTGAAGTGTTGATCAGTGTTTGCCAAAGCCAAACATGACGTCCTGGAATGTTTGTTTTTGTTGTCAACCCAAAGATATCAAGTTTTCTTGAAGATGTGAAGACTCCAGAAAAAAGCATTTTTAGCATGTGGAGGTAGACATTCTCTGCTTTCTGTTACTCAAACAGATTAATTGATTTACTCAATAGCTGGCAATTAATTTACTAGCTGGAAACTAATCAATCATCTCTACACAGTGTTATGTTTTGACAGACTGAATGCCAGCGACCACTGCTGTGAACAACACCCAGCTCACTCTATTAGATCTCTACTACACTAGCCTAAACAACACATTGTGAACATTGTGTATCAAGTATCAACAGAGCAGATGCCAGCTGTTGCAACTTACAAACAATGACGGTAACACCTCAGAAAGTTACCATGCGGTTCCATTATATGTGCGAATATAATGCTGACAACCGAGTCTTGAAATCTGTTTACAGATCAGGATGTCTCTTGTTGCGGTGCAGAAAAAAAAGTTTTAGGTGTTTTCCCTTTTGTTTGAAATAACCTGTGACACCATTTGCATTCTAGTTGTCTAACTTCACGCTGATAGCACAGCTTAAACACAACATAGCTCCATACATGAGTAACAGCAGACCTGTTGCTGCACTTGTACTGGCTGCTGTCACTCCACATGTTGTTGATTATGATCCAGTATCTCCAGGACCTACAGCAGCTGCAGTGCTTTCACGACTTTCTGTAAACTAGTAGGTCACATCTTCTAGATTTTTGGCATTAAATTAGTACCAACAGTTATTGTGACATCCCTAATGGAAAGTGCAGAAGTAAGAAAAAGGCTGAAGGGACTCTTAGGGAAGGATAAAGATAGTTTGAAGGAAAAGACTGGATGCCTGCTGTGCGCATGAAGAAGTTGTATTGTTGTGACTTTAACCATCTGTTTGAAGCATCTGCCTCCATCTGTTCAGCATTAAACAGCTTTTGGCATTTATACTGATGTCTGATTCTTAGACTAAATGACAACATTATCAACAACAGCCAAGTTGTGTGCAGTGCACATTTGGGCATTGCTCCCACTTCACTGCTACTTAATCTTAGTTTCAGTTTTTGTGAGTAAAAAAAAGAACCGGAAGGCTTGTGGATGTAACTATTAGAGAATGAAAAGACACAAGGGTTGACAACAAAACATGACGAAAGACCAAAAGGCTAAATCAGACAAAAATTGAAAAAGATGAGAAAAAGACATCGATATAAGAAAAGACAAGTGACGGAAAAGGAGGCAGGAGGATGAAAAAGCAAGAAGTGTGTTGCAGACTGTGAGAGATGACTGCTGTCAGACAGGTGGCAGGTTCACAGTAAGTCAGGCGAGAGAGTCAAAAACAACACAAAAAGGTGTTTTCTTCTCTCCTTTTTAAAACTGCGAGTACAGGAGCAGCTGCAGCCTCACTCACTCCTCAATAAATGCTCTAAACAACCTTTTGAGGAAAACTGGAAAAACAAGAAACGTGTGTGTGTGTGTGTTGCTGGTCTGGATCGCCTCCTCTGAGTGCGGCGACACAGCTAGATTTCTTCATTTAGAGTTGTCCCGTGTCCATAGTTCTCTAATGAAAAGGCTTTTGTTGCCTCAAACCTCCTGAGTGGCTTTGTACTGAGATACTGCCTGGTCTTTTTCAATGTGAGTGCAGGCAGCACCAGCTACAGTACTGTTTGAGTGTGTGTGTGGTACAACGGGGGGTAGATCAGTTTATGCTTTCTATCGCTCTCCTTCTTTTTTTTAATGAAATATTCATAATCCTATTCTTTGTGTTTCTTTCTGTTTTGGGCAGTGTTGCCTCTACAATCGCATTCTTGATCTCAGCGTGAGAGTTTGAATAAATTCAATTCACATAATGAACAAATTAAACATCTAATGCGTTTATTGTTTAGATTTTGACTAAACTTTGCCTGCAAACCTCTGTCCCTAGCTGTCTCTTTAAGAGTAATGTTCCTTGCAGGGCTAACGTCATTGTCCACTGGTCTTGTTAATTTTTTCCTCCCTCCTAGCTCTCAGCAGTGACCTTGGGAAGTAGACATACAGTCTACGCGTACACACACACACAGATGTGAGCATGCATACTGATAATATATACACAGGCGCAGGTATACACACCGACAGATTAATGGTTTATCATCCACATTTTTTCCCTCTACCTTTCTTTCTCTTTAGCACTCCATCTTTTTCGTGTCTCCCTCCCTCTGTGTTCGTCTGTCACTCGCTCTCTTTTATCTCTGTGTTTCTGCTCTGATGTTTGGCTCTGCGTTCCAGCCATAAACGACTGGACTGCTGCTTTTTTTTCTATGGTGTGCGTTTGTGTGTGTGCAGATGAGACGGGAAAGGATGGAAAGAAAATCGCAGCTGCTTGCGATGTTTTTGTTGTTTGTGCTAAATTTTAATATGTGAACTCCTGGAGCATGACACACAATCACCCTCACACCTCTCCGCGAGTAACTTACATAAAGTAATTGATAGCGAATAGCGTGCGACACTGTATGTTTGATGTTCAAAATGTGACTGCAGGCACCAAAGTTGTTTTGCTGCTTCTCAGGCTGTGTGGCTGTATTTTGTATTCAGTACCTGTCTGAAGCCATTTTCAGAGCTGGTAAGGATTATGGAAGATTACAGCACTCCATTTTCTCAGGGCAAGCACAGCCCAACAGTCAATACATGATGTGCTTGGACAGTGAGGTAATTTGGTCTTTCAACTAAAAGTCACTGAGTGTAATAATGCAGTTACGACATCAGAAGATTATTAAAAAACAAAAGAACAGAATTCAGCTTGTTAATGTTTTATTCATCTGCACTCACATTGTGTTAATGGGCTTGCTGTCGTAGCTAAGCGTTCACAACAATGCACCGCCAGCACAGCTTCCACGTTTAGGAATGTAGTCTGTTACTCTTTTACTTGATAAATTTGTAAACTTATTACAATAGGCAAGAGCAGTGAGCTTGCAAGAAATGTGCGTATTCTGCAAATGTTTTATTTTATTTTCTATGGAATCAGTGAGAAAGACTTTGAGACTATAGAAGTTAATTTTATATTTAGACTTGTAAATATTTTGATATTGTTTGGTAAACACTTGTTTACTAGATGTAAATACCTAAAGGTACCCCGTAATGAATAAAAGGATGAATGATCTTCATCGACATGCAAAATGCGAGCTACAGTACTGATTAGTAGTGTATTTAACCTGTAGATTTACACACACACACATGACTGCAACTCAGTTTGCAATTTCTTTATTCATCATTATATATATTTTGCTATATATATATTATACTATTTTTTATTTTAAGGTTTTATTTTATTTTTTTAATCATGTCGTGGTTTTGCGCAGCCTTGTGGAACAGCCACTTTGCATTTCACTGTGCAAGTGACAAACAGCTTTTGAATCTTGATCTTTTTATGCATTGCAATGCTTGGCAATCATAAGAATGCAGCAAAACTAAAGCTATGTTTATGCCTCTGAAAAATCCCATTTATGTTTTTGGTGGTTTCCATTTGATTAGCTTCATACTGTTTCATGATTCTGGGCTGAACATCATCGCAGCTCACATAGTTATTTGTCAGCTGACCTGACTTGAGCCTCCTTCACTTTAGTGTCCTGCTTTAAAACTGGGATGCACACTAACCTGGAGGTAAGACTGTTGCACTCCAAACCATCTCCAGCCCAGTGTTTACAAAACAAGCCTAAACTTTGAAGACATCAATCTGGCATTAACTTGGACTTGAAAGAATTTATCACGTAACAAAAGACGTTGAAGCGACGATTACATTATTTCTAATTAAAGTGTGCATTCACATGCTTCCCTTTGTAGCTGAGCCAAGCGAGAGATTATGAAAGAAAAGTGTGTCCGATTGTGTTGGAGGCACCAGTCAGCAGCCAGAAGCTTTGTTGTGACGCAGGGACAATAATAGACTAATACACTGAGTACTCTCCAGTCTGACTGGGCATACTGATTTAAAAAGTGAGACGCAGACAGCTGGGAAAGAGAGGAAGATGAACGCAGAGGCACAGAGATCAGGGGGAGGTCAGAAAGAGCTTTGGGAACGATGGCATGGCATGAACTCGGCAAGAGAGGGTTAAGGATAAGTTGATGAAAGAAAGGGAAACGGAATTAACAAGTGGGTGAACCAGAGACGGAAAGGAGAGCAGGAAAGAGAGAGGATTGATCTAATAGACTTCCCACCAGGGACCTAAGCATTATGAGGGGAAGAAGCAGAGGAGGAGATGGAGAGGCTGACGGAGACGAGAGAAAAATAGATAATATTAGTTAAGCAGCAAGTGGAGAGTGTGTTTACACACACGCACACAGAGACAAGAATGGACTGAAACATCTTGAAAGGAAGTCGTCACGTTTCCTGCGTCTGTTTGTTAGACTTCACTTAATATAGACAAGGTGTGTTTTTGTGTTTTAAATGCGTGAGTGAACCACTGACTGTTAAATTTATCTGTTTATTTGAGGCACAAGTAGTGTTTCCCAATACTCCTCCTGTGATCGTGAGAGACTGTTCTCTCTGCAAACAACGTAGGGGTTATTCAGCTGTTAAATTATGCACATGTAAACACACACACACACAACAATAGACACTCATGAGCACAAACACAATTATAATCACGCAGCAAGATGAGCACACACACAAATACACACACCTACCGCGGCTAAGAAACATTATAGCAGCCAGCTATTACTTGTAAGCTTGATGGCATTTGAATCCATGTGTGCACACAAACACATTTTTCTCTCAGTATCTAGGTCATTGACTCAGTGCGACTATTTAAAGTTGTGTTTATATGTGTGGAGTGAGTATTTCAAGCTTTTAGTCATCATCGTCTTGTGAGGATATGAAACGGTGTCAGGGCACAGATGCAGTGAAATGAAGTGAACAAACACTACAAACAGCCGTGCGGTTCGGCCTACCCATGCACGATGAGCTGACTTATTTAGTTCATTTAACATGAATTAAGCGCCAATGGGCAGTTGCTTGATGCACGTGTTTGGACCAATTTGTAAGAGCACATGGAGTCATTTAGCGGGGTACTTAAAGGCATTTTTTTTTTTTTAGGAAGACACCTGCCACTTGCTGTCACGTTCTTCTAGGATTGGCCTCAAAGTAGCTGTTGGGAGATCAGGTGCCTTCCTGAAAGACACCCCTGGGAGCCGCTAAGAACCTTCCCCTTCAGTCTTCTTCCAATTTATTGTTCAATCTCCATTACTTCCTTCCTCCCATCTTCTCTAACCTGCCCCGTCTCTCCTCTTCCCACCTTGTCACAATCCATCCCTCATCTTCGCTTGTTCTCGTCTCTTTAACATCTCTTCCTTTTCCTTATCTGATGTGTCCTATCCTGCTGTCACTCGTCTCTCCCCTATCCCTGTTTTCTGTGCTTACTCTCTCTTGCGCCTTCCAAAAAAGCTGCTACCACGTTATCTTCATTTTCACCTAATTACCCTTATCCGTCCTTACTTCCCTTGAAGCCATCTCCCCCTCAATTTTTTCTCTCCCACTCATTCTGTCTTCTTCGTCTCCTCTGCACTTGCTGTGTGTCTTTCACAGCTTGTCTTCGTAAACTTTCTTTCCCTCTGCTTCTCACCACTTCGCTCCATCTGTCTCTTCCCCTCATTCCTTCTCTCCTGTGTATCCTCGCTCTCCTCCCTCTGGTCTGCCTCTCTTCCCCTTCTCTCTCCCTTTATCTCTGCCTTGTTGTCAAGTGGTGACTCACTAGAGGCGAGCAGCCAAGGATTTGGCCAACACACATGCACACAAATACACACAGGCACACACACACACACACACACGCATCCTGATCAGCCAAGAGTACAGCATGCAGGCCACATGCTGCACGTACTGCGCACACAAAGACACTGTTGAGGGCCAAGGGTATGAGAGACGGGTTAGACACACAGTCGCACAAGCGCAATGCTCTATCAGCCAAGTGAAAAGCAGCAAACAGTCTGAGTCACACCGGTGGAGCAGAAACATCAAGTGAAACCGCCAACACACACACACACATACAGTGTCTATTTTGATACCCAGTAATGATTAACAGCTTCCATGTGCGTTTTTCCCTCCAATTCGGATTTTCGAGTGTCTTGTTTTGTGTTCTTCTCAGTCCCATCCGAATCAACAGAATTAGAATACATATATATTATATAACCATTGTTTTGGGGGTTTTTGGTCAAGGCTATAATTGCACATTTTTAACAGTCTTATGTAACTATATAGCAAGTACAAAATGTTAGACAATTCCAGATATACAATCTATTACCTGAGATTTAAATGTTTGTTTGTTTTTTTTGACTAGGTAAAATTACCTAAAGAGAAAAACACTCTTTAGTTGAGCTGGGCACAAATTGAACATATGCAACCTGTTAAAGAAGAGTTGTAAGCAGAATTCGCTTTAGTTTTAAGGGGTTGTGTGTCAGAAAGTTTCCAAACCACTGCTCCAGAACATGAAAGATAAAAATATTAAGCATTCATTTACAATCTGGGTATCCAAGAAGAGGTCAGGTGCAGAAGCCATCTCTTTCACACCAGTGGGGTGTATGGATGCTCCATAATACCTTTACCGGAGGATGCGGTACTATTTTAAAGGTTCAAGTATACATGTCTTAGATGAAGCGAGCGGGCGACCATTAGTATCACCACGTGTGATGTTTTGTATCCTCCTGTGGTCCTTGTTAGGCAGAAGATGTAGTTTCCACTCACTGTATCTGAGCTGGAGTGAAATAGTAGACAGAGGGAATATATCAAACTGAGAAACATTTGTGAGGACTACACTCTTTTTGGATGTTTGTAATATGATAGTGCTGATTTACAATTTGCTGGGGGAACTGATTAGAACTTCTATGCATAATAATTGTAATGCCTTCTTGTTTGTGCTCTACTCAACACAGAAGATATTTGTTCACTTTCAGCTAAACACTGAGGATTTTATACGAAAATTCACGTGTGCTTTTCACCTGCACCGCTTTAAGAACTGAGCCCCTGCTGTCTGATTGAACACAGTAATCAACCTCACCTGGGTGAAAGTAAGACTAGAGTGACATTGTGTAATCTTTTCCTCATCATGCTCTGCTGCAGGTGAAGAAGACGTACAGTCACGGTACGTACAGAGCCGGGGCAATGAGACAGATCAGCCTGGTGGGAGCCGTGGACGAGGAGGTCGGGGATTATTTCCCAGAATTCCTCGGCATGCTCGAGGAGTCACCTTTCCTGAAGGTGAGTCTGGACGGGATGAATGGCAGTAATCCTAAACGGCAGCAAAATAGATGAATGGATAGATAACAGGAAAGCGACACGGGGATTCAAATAGGAGCTTAAGATTTGCAGCGTGTTAAACTTGCGCTGCATGCAAGACAATCTACAAAATATTTGTGTCAGCAATCATTGGTGTAACCAAATAATCTTTCACATTCACACACTCTAATTTTCATTGTTTGTAGTGAAATGCTTACAGTGTAGAGCAACGCTGAGGTGGGCAACAGAAGATAATACAATAAGGATTGGATTTTATTCTGCTTTATTTTTAACCAGTATTGATCCCTCAAAATCTTGCATGGTCTGCATCGATGCTCATCCTCTGGTTCAACTTGGGACATCCTTATTAAACACTTATTGCTTCTTACTCCCAAAGCATTCATTTTCATGTGATGCTATTTGTTTGAATAACTCTAAAGGAAACTCAGCTGGGCTTGTGCTCTGATTGTGACAGTAACACTGTTGGCAGACTCGTCAAGATGTCGTCTGACTATGTTCAACACCTTTTACACTGTCATATAACACAAGCTTAGCTGCACCTCAAAAACAGTCTAATTGTTCGCATGTTTAGTCATGGATGCATTCGCTAAAAACCAACACGAATATTTTGATGCGTTTACACCGCTGATCATTTGGAAATAGCATAAACAGAGCAGATGCTAGACACAAACAGCGACAGCACACCTAATATTCTCAGTGGTGGCTGGCAAACAAGAGGCGTTAAGTGGCGTGTCAAGTGATTTGATGCAGCTCCCAGTTTCAATTCAGGAAAGTGGTTCTCTTTGAAAATGTCTGCACAGGAACCGACCACCAAAAATACCGTGTTTACTGCCGTCCCGAAAATGCAGGAGTGACAAGCTCGTCTTCTGTTTGCTATTCTGTGTTGACACTTCAAATCTCCTGCATGCAGTGTGGAGGAGCGGCGTCGTATGCTGAATATCAAAAGACGCACATCCTCTGGCACTTCCTATCTATCAGCAGCTTTGGCTCTGATTTGACACCCTCTGAAGCGTCTTGGGTGCCAGTGACAAGTTTTGCCAGGGGAGCAGCTTCTTGTGCCTGAGATTTTCTTTTTGGGAATAAATAAGATACTTGATGAATTGGTTAACAGCTGATAAAGTCAGGAATGTGCTAACATGCCGCTTTGATTTTATTCCCTCACGTCTTCTTTCTGTCACTTTCCCCTTCCTCCCTCTTTCTCCCGTCGTCGCCTGTCTGACCTCAGCGGACTCTTCCGTGGGGAACGTTCTCCAGTCTGAGGCTGATGAGTCCCACAGAGAGCGACGACGGTCCTATAATGTGGGTCAGACCAGGAGAACAGATGATACCTGTAGCTGATATACCAAAGTCTCCTTTTAAAAGAAAACGGTGAGTCCAGACTGTGTGTGCCGCAGTTTACACAAATACACTCTCAAATGAAGCCAGCGAATATTTCCAGAGATGGATAGAATTAGCAGGGATTTTGGTCTTTATGAATGTTGTTTGTGCTGACTACAAGTCTCGGTGGTGTGTTTGTATACCTTATTGAGCCAGCTTTTCTCTGTACTCCCTACGCTGCCCGTGAGGACTGATTATGAAAAACAGTAGCACACTTGCCAATTTGAAGCAGCAGCCGCGCTAGCAGCGTGAGGCTTTGTTGTAGCCGAACAGCGCCGGATGAGGCAATTACCCCCTCTCTGTTTGTCCGTGTCACAGTGTCATTGTTGCTCACACGTAGGCTCACTCTCAAACACACATGGCCTCTGTAAGTCGGACCATAAGAGAGAATGCGTGCATGTTTGTGTGTGTGTGTGTGTGTGATGCGAGCGCTATGTGGCCCGCCGCTCAGATGAGATCATCGTTACATCAGACGCTACTTCACATGGCAGCCAGCCAAACATGGGACAATGCACACCGCACACATTCCTTATTCGCTTCATTAATTTCTCTCTTATGTCTCTGGTGATTAGTAGCCACATCAATTGTTATGTGTTTTTTTTTGTAATAGCTAGAATAATCGTCTTTATTCAATAGCACGCTTTTTTTTTTTGTTTGTTTTTTATAATCTGCTTCTGAAATGTGAGGATTTGGGGTTTTTATGTTTTCTATTATTGCAGATTTAAAATCTCTAGGTTTCAGGCTGTCTGGAAGAAATAGTGTTTTTTTTTTTTTTTTGCATTTTAGAAACCAAATAATATAGTGATGCCCAGGTTATTGTGTTAATTAGCAGCTGTAATTGTTCTTTTTTCACCTAATTGAACTGATTTTATGGTTGCAAAAATAAGTAATTAAGGAAATATACCTACCTTTAAATCCATAGTTACACCTAAATTCATACAGTATGTTCCACATTTGTACATGTTTTAGTGTTGTTGGTGTTGAGACTGTTTGATGGAAATGTGTGTGACGTTGTGAGTGTTTGTGTGTGTGACTGTCAGAAACACTTGTGTAACAGCTGGGACTGAGCGAATCTATTTTCATAGAGATGGACAGATAGAGAAAAGGATCCTCAAACTGTTGCCTCTTCTTCTTTCTTGTGAATCTGGTCTCATGCCATCGGATGATTGTAATTTATCATTAGAAATTATTATAAAGCGACACCCACAAACCAATGTGTGCTCCATCTTTACTCTTCTTCTCTTTCACGACTCCACTTTCCTTCACTCTACCCACTCCTGCCTTTTATTCCTCAGTCCTTGTCCTCTTGCTGCCTCTTAATATCTGCCTTTTCTCCTCCTCCTCTCTCTCTGCTTCTCTTACAATCTGTCTTCTGCTTCATCCTCTTGACCTCTCATGCTTTAGGTTGATTTATCGTAGAGTTACCGTGCTGTTGTTTTCGGGAACTCCGAAGAAAGCACATATATTAAAAATGCCATAGCTGTGCAAGTGTTGTTGTTTATGTCTGTCAGTGTGTATAAAGAGAAAGACATAAAAACAGCAAGAAAGATGGTGAAGTGTAGAGATAGAGAGAAGGACGTGATCTTGTTTGCAGTGAGTCCTTGGCTGCAGTTTGACCGTGTGCTGTTTTGAACGAAGGAAGGCTGCTTGTGCATGGGCAACATCCCTTCACAGCGTTGCTGCTTTTTCTTTGTGGTTTCAGTGAAAAGGTCAAGCCGCTGTGCATTTCTAACAGCGCTGAGACTCTTAGTCTGAGAATTGAGCTTGATTATAGTGGTCAGATGATGAAAATAAAACCAAAATATTTCGGCTTTCGGTGAAAGAGCGCCATGCTTCCTGGGATTTACAGTAATTGCATAGTAACAGCAGCAGCAGCAGCAGCAGCAGGAGCCGTGGCCAGCACCAGTCACAAGCAGGACAGAGAGCGATGAGGAACGAAATATCCCCGTACAGAAACAAATTGTGTGATGACTGATTGAGAGCGTGGTGGTGATGGCTGAAGTGTTCTGGGAGCTAAGAGGAGAAAGCTGGAACAATTCTAATTCAAAGAAAAATAATTAGACTAATTGATTAGTACATTGATTCGAAAAGTTATTTTAACGACTGATAATCATCATAATTTTCTACTACGTAGTGGAACAGTTAGCTTCTTAAATGTGAAAAATTACAGGTGTTCAAACCAAACCGGAGAGACAGCTGGAACATGTTAGTTTGCAAATTGTAGAGCACCAAGCAGCAAATAAGGATGCATGAGCTGCTACAAAATGTAAGCGATTACATTATTGATTTTATAACAGGGTATTCTCATTCTCTAATATGCTCGGTAGTATTGCACAGTGTACTAGAGAAGCATCGCAGTAGCAGCCGTTAAAAACGATAGTATTCTGCATTTTATCACTGCTGATACTTAAAGAACGTTTTAATACAAGTCATATTTCTGCTCCCCAGTTTTCTTTGGGGGATTATCCATTTTAATGACAGCGCTCGTCTCCCTGCGTGCAAATGTTCCATCACAACACTTCCACCCATCACTATTTTAAGGGAACACTGAAGCCGCGTCTTTCGCTCAGCTCTGTTCAAGATGGTTGTAAATGGTTTAAAGAAGAACCAAAAAGCCAGAGCGATTTTTTTGTTTTTTCCTACAGCAGAATGATGTTGCGGTGCAGAATGGGCTGGCCAAGTGAGACTACTGTCATTGTGACAACACAAGAGGCGCAGCTGCAAATACAAGTATCCTTGCCAACTGTCCACAAATTGTCCACAAAGTAGATGTGCAAAGCAAAAAATGGCAACACTGCACTTACAGCCAACAGTCAGGGTGAGCCCACGGACACCACGAAGCCCTGACAAACTGTAAAAAAACGTTTTACTCATGCAGCATCCAACAGCGGCCTTGTTCAAATGATTCTGATTCAAAGCGTGACAGTTAGCTAATGTCATACACAACATATATGAATCTGGCCTGTGGCCTCAAATATCAAAAGAGTAAATTATTTCATGAAAAATGAACCTTTGGTTTAATTTGGATGTATTTTTGTAGCTTACTTGCCAATATGCTCAACATCTCTGTCTGCCAATGCAGCGTTCATACTGGTACCAATAAGCTGTGTTACCAGAAGCTGCTGAAATCAGACGTTCACCAGTGTGCAGATCAGCCATACCAGTTATAATGATCAACTGAATGTTCCCTCAGAAAGAGTGAAAGTGGGTTATTTCGCCTTATCTGCAGGGATTTAAGCTTTTATAAGCTGCAGTGTGACATGAAGGTGGAGAGACGTGAACATGTAAAGAGCTGATTCCCCCAGTTCTGCTTGGATATGAAAGTGTATGAAGACGCTGTGGTACAATAATTTCCTCCGGTTGTTTTCTGGCTTCCACTGCCTTGTCGTGACATAAAAGTTGTTGTTGAACAAGTAAAGTAAATATTTAACGTTCCATGTTCTGTAATACACTTTCCTGATGTTTCTAGTCTTTGCTGGGGCATCCTTTTATTATCCTCATCGATATATTAAGGCAGATATTGTATTAAAGTACAAATCTGGCACTGTGACAACACACACACTTTTTAATCAAGTAGTGGTGGGATCAAACAGTGGAGTTGCGTAACTACAGTAATTCACAGATGCACAAAATGCATAGAGTAAAACTGTCACCAACAATGACTCGTACCTGCTTTATATTCATGAACACATTGTGGGTGAATTTGAGCTTTAATTGAACTCCGACTGCCACACTTGGTGGAAAAACAGAGAGGCGTAGCTTTAAAATGCACAGTACATTAGTGTCTTGGAGAAGGTGGTTCCCTCTGTCTCCTCTTTACACTCCCTTTACTGCCTTATCCCTCGACGGCCCACCTCTCTTCTCCTTTATCCCCTGTTTCCCTCCATCATCTCAGCACTCATGCTGCCACTCATCTGTTCCTCATCTCTTCCCCTCCTTTTCACACTTCACATCCGGCCACACATACATCCATCCTGACAGTTTGGTGCATAGACTGGAATAAACGGTGCCAGAACAACAGGACCTCACATATAGAGGATATTTAAAGAACTATAGCGGCTGTTAGATTTTCAAATATCATTCTGGCTGCTGCACGTTCAGCACTCCTCCCTTTACACTCTCTTTTCACTGTTTCACTTACCAGCTTTCCTGGTTTTACATTTATTACTGTCAGCCTGCAGTCAGCTCAGACACACTGAGCTCTGTGCGCCTGTGTGTGTGTTTTCATCTCCCCCTTCGCTCTCTCTACTATTTTCCTCTGCTTCTTTCTTCCTCTTCCACCAGCTCATGCCTCTCTCCTCTTATCTCTGAATGAATGAACGCACAATTCAGTGTTCAGCACGGGTAGTCTTGCCTCTGTGCTGTCTGCGTATGTGCGCGTCTGTGTTGCGCTCTCGAAGGAATCTCTCGCAGACTCTGTGCGTGTGTGTTTATACTCTTGTTTGAATCTGACTGCAGCTCCAGTGTGAGTCACTGATCCAGTAGTGAGCTGACTGCAGTACTTCTATTGTTTGGCAGCACGGCTCATTTTTATGCTTTTACTCCTCAGCTTTTCAGTCCGTATGCATGAAGCCAAGTCTGCACATTCTGCATTCGTACGTGTTCCGGCGTCGCTGTTTGTTTACTTCGTTTTTACCTTCCACCATTTAAAATGCAACCTACTGTTTTGACTCAAAGCACACAAGAGGATGCTACTGATTTCCATTTTTTTCATTTTTGACCATGCAGAGATGGCCCGTGCATTTTTTGCCACCAGCAAACACGGGGGATAATTTGCATCAGAAGTAAGAGCTATTGCTCTGAAGCTAGAAAAACCCCTCATATATCATTTTTATATGCAGGATGATGAATGTGGTTTCACAGCGTGCAGTAAAACATCTCGTTCAGTGGATGCTTTAACACTCACTGAATACACCACAGGAATATTTATGAATGTCCACTCCCTGTTCATTACGGCCTATCAATTAATTTTTGAGTTTTAGTTTATGTGAACTGTTGTGTTTTTTTCCCACAATTCATGGTAACGGCCCAAAACACAATGATATTCAGCCTGTAGTGATACAAAACAGAGATGTGTCTTTTTCAATGGCTTCAAATTCATCAAATACAAATTAACTAACAATCAAACTAGGAGATGAATGAATCTTTCAGGAGTGTTGTGATGCTCATCAGGGCTTAGATAGTTAATTGATTATTTAATTATATCGTGCAGCCAAAAATTAGCCAAAAGCCATTTTTGATAATTGATGAATTAAAAAAAGTTTAAAGACAACATGTATAATTGCTGTTTTTTTTTTTGTTTTTTTTTAGCCTTGTATGATATTAAGGTGAATATATTTGGGTTTTTGCAGCGTTTTCAGATCAAAACAAGACGACTGAATGTGTAAATGTTGGCCTTGAGAAAATGTGATGTACATTTTTTGCTTTTTTCTGACATTTCCAGGGACTATACTGCATTTTAACATAAATCAGATAAATCAGTATTATTGTTAATTTAATTTTGCGTCGTCACTGGAAAAAGCTTGAACATCCTCTAAATACGGATGTTTCAGAACATCCACACTGGTGCATGTTTTCCTCCTCTGCACCAGAACCCTTCAAACATCCTCGCTGCTCCTGATGTCATACCGTAGGATTTGGATTTCATCAATAGCAACACAGATAACAACAAAAACCAGCAGATGAACCCGGTTTTGTGCTTTTATATAGCAAACAAAGAGACAGAGAGAGCGAGCATCCCCCTCACCTTTAGTCATTTTCTGCTTTATTTAGACAGCAGGGAAGCAGACAGAGGAGCAGAATCAACTGTGTGGGCACTTGTATGTTTTTTTCCCCCTGTTTTTCTACTTTGCTGTGTCTCTGAAGGAGTGATCATTCCTGTGCTCTTTTAGCTCCACCAATGAGGTGAAGAACCTGCTGCAGTCGCTGCCCAGGACCAGCGAGCCCAGAGAGATGCTGTTCGAGGATCGGACTCGGGCCCACGCCGACCACATCGGACAGGGATTCGAGCGTCAGACCACAGCGGCCGTGGGGGTGCTGAAGGCTGTGTGCGCTCTGGAAAGGTAGGCAGCGGAGCAACACACCGTCCTCACACACACACACACACACTCAGGCACAAGCACACATTTTAAATGTCACACAGTTTGGTACGTCGCCGTTTGTCTAGAAGCGACACACGCTCAGTATTTACACAGCTTACTCACTGACAGATATCATATAATCCTTCTCTCTTTCCTCCTCCCCTCCGTCCCCTGTTTGCAGCTCGGAGCCTCCTCGCGTTACCAAAGATGTTATATGTTTCCACGCTGGTGATTTCCCTTATGTAGTTCAGAGGCTGCAGTTGGACCTTTATGAACCCCCACTGTCTCAGGTCTCACATGACACACACACACACACACACACACACACACACACACACACACACAGACACAGATAACATGACAGTAATCACTGCTTCCTCATTAAGATCAGTGAAGTCACCTTTATAATATCTCAAATTAGATCCAGAATCTCACCCACAGTGTTAGAGCAGTTCAACTGAACCAGTCAATCTGGTGTTGGATGCTGCCACCTGGTGGAGCAAAATTGACATCAGGAAGTTAGAGCAAAAAAGAATGAGTAGAAGTTTAATGATTTATTCTTAAAGTAAATTGCACATAAAATAAATCATTTTCTGTTTAGTTTGACCAAGATAATCCTCCCAGTATCAGTACGGCTTTCTAGGGAATCCTGCTTACATAGATTATTAAGACACAGGAAGCTGATTTAAACATAACAAATAGTCAATACATCTGCTCATTGGGTGTACTGGTGTGCAGCTCTCTGTTTCTATTTGATAGCCTGTACCGTAGACTGGTAGCTAAAGTATATCTGGCTGCGGGGTTTTGTTGTGGGTTTAATTTTTTCAAAAGAAGCACATATTTTTGACCATTTTCTACTCTTTTTTCATTGTTTCGTGTTCATTTTAGAGTTTTACTTTTGATGAAAATGAAATGCAGCATTGAACAACCCCGAAGTAACCCTCTGAACTCCAAGTAGCGATTTATTGCCCCCGTCACATTTTTTATTTGCTGTTGGCTCATTTTTCGCTGCGATATAAAGTCCCGCAGCCCGATGGAAACACATAAATCACAGGTGTACATAGGAAGAACTGAAAAATGCCTTTTGTATGAAGACAAAGTTAAATGAAGTCTGTTACTTGAACAAAAACAGAAAAGAAAAAACTAAAGGTTGCTGTCTTCAATTATTTATTTCACAAGAAATAGGAAATTTCTAGAAGAAGCATATACAGGTTCTTCCAGGTGTTACCAGTACAGAGGAAAAATGGTGTCGCTGCACACCATAGATAATTTACTACTTACATTTTCCATTTGTTGACACACTCATCTCCTATCTGCTCTGTCCAATCACAGCCTGTAGTTCAGTACAGTTTAGCTTAAAATACATTTTTGTACAGCTTGTTTTTACCAATTCTTTAAGTGAGGCATGTAGAATGAATCGATTTTTGATTAAATGTTAAGCTCAGGTTTAACAAGGTTGTAGAGTTTCTCTTATTAGGCAAGGATTCAGTGTGTTTTGTTTTGTCATAGTAATATTATGACAGATTTTAATATAGATGTCACTGTCCAGAGATGTGTTGGATTGCACTTCTTCCTTGCAGCTGTCTAAATCCTCTCGTCTTGTGTCCTCACAGTGTGTGCAGTGGGTGGACGATGCCAAACTAAACCAGCTGCGGCGGGAAGGCATCCGCTACGCTCGCATCCGCCTGTGCCACGATGACATCTACTTCATCCCCCGCAACGTGGTCCACCAGTTCAAGACCGTGTCGGCTGTCTGCAGCCTGGCGTGGCACATCCGCCTACAGCAGTACCACCAAGGAGAGGGAGCTGAGGAGGAGGTGAAGGAAGAAGAGGAGGAGCTGAAGGAGGAAGAGGCAGAAGCAGTGGTTCTGGAGAAAAAGGAGGAAGAAAGAGAAAAGAAGAGCGAGAAAGAAGCGAAGGAGAGGATAAAGGAGGAGGACGAGGAGGTGGATGTGGCAGAAAACAGGACGTTGCCGACTGCCAAAAAGGAGAAACGTGATGATAAATCTCCACCTCTGTCGTCTCAGGCTGCTCTCTCAGCGGACTCCAGCGTCAGCAGCGCAGGAGTCAAAGAGGAGGTGACGAAGAGGGCGAAGCAAGACGGAAGAGTCAAACGGCAGGATTCACCTCCTGCAAAAGTGAAGGCAGAACGTCCAGCTGCTCCTCCCTGCAAGAACGACTCCCCTCTCTCCGTGTCCCCTCCCTCGTCTCGTCATCAGGACACAAAGCCCAAAGCGTCGTCAAAGTCTCATCACCACCACCATCATCATCACTCAGACAGCAGAACAATGTCTTCCAGTACAAGTTCCTCGTCTTCTCACTCGGCTCCCAAACCATCCCTCTCTCCACCTTTTTCTAAGTCTTCCGCCTCTTCGTTTTCTCCAGGATCTTCTGTTACATCTTTGCACACTTCTTTTGCAGCTCCCCATCCATCTTCTACCTCTTCTCCTTCCGCTGTCCTGTCCACGTCCTCCTCCACGTCCTCTTCATCCCCGATTTGGCCCAAGCCTACAGCGGACGCCAATCTCTGCACACGCCCTCCTTCCAGCGTTTCGTCATCTTCCTCTCAGTCGGATCAACCCAAGGACAAAGACCGCCTAAAGCCGGACGTCCTTTCAGACACACGGACGCAGGCATCACCTGCTGTGGATGTACAGACTCACACCTACCAGGCCGACACACGGACGCACACAGCGGCCGACACACGGACACAAACACTCCCAGAGAAATGGACTCACAGTTTGGACTCGGACTCCAGGTCATCTGTGGATTTGCAAATGCATCCGCCGCAGGATAGGCAAGGAATTTACATGCAGCAATACACACCCCAGCACCTCCCTCCTCCTCCTCCTCCTCCTCACCTCCCTCAGATGCTTCCTCCCTCCTTCTCCCCTCTCCTGCCACACTCCCACCTCCCTCACAGACCTCCAGTCCTCCCCCCAAACCCTCTCTCCACACAAACTCTGCATCCGGTCCACATGGGCCAGCTCCACCTGCATCCCCCCCACCAGCCCAACATCAGCACGCAGTCGCAGTCCTACTTCCAGCCTCCGCTAATCGCCTCCCCGCCTCCGCCCAACAGTCCCCTCACCAGCGCCCAGCCTCTCCCACCACACCTTCCTCACCTGCACCAGTTTGCCAGAAGCTTCTTCCCCCCTCAGCACCCCGGCTTCAGCTCTCACCCCTTCCTCCCTCCTCAGCCGTACCTCCCGCAACCACCCGGCTCTTACCCTCTGCAGCCACCGTACCAAACCTCAGCGCCGGTGCAGGTCCAGCTCCCTCTGCCACAGGCTTTCCCTCACCCCCCTCCCCCTCCGACCTCCTCGCCGCCTCCCCCTCCGCCGCCTCTTCCCCCTCCTCCTCCCCCTCAGCCTTCCCCCTCTGTGCTCTCCCCTCCCCCAAAGCATGAAGAGGAGCAGATTTTATAGTAGTTTTTGTACATAACGATGCTGTTTTTAAATGACTGTATATGTACAAGGTTTTATTTTGGTTGTGTTGTTGTAAAAGTGTAAAAAGGAAAAGACAGAGGAAGACAGTGGAGCGCTTCGATTATGGACACAGTTTATCAAGCAGAGCTGGACTTTCCCAGACCGTCAGACTGAACTGGCTGAGGTGCGTTGGCGGTGCACAAGTTCAATATTATTGAGAGTTTATTTCATTTCCAGGTTGTTTTGGACTTCGGTTGGTGAAGGGTGCGCCAGTTTAAACTCTAAAGAAGAGATTATTCAGGATCATGGTTCGAATAAGCTCCCTAGTCTGCCAAACTGCTGTCTGGTTTTGTTTTTTTGAAGTGAGCATAACATTTTGAATATCCGATTCTCGTTGAGCCATGACATGTAGGAAGAATATAGGAAAATCTCTGCAGACTTGTGTCAGATATTTATCTATAAAAAGGTCGTGAGGTTGGCCTTTTTGTGAAACTTGCAGCTAAATGCTTCCATTTTTGTGGCTTTTTTCTAGTATGTTCTTTGTGCCCAAGACTGTTTCTGGAATAATGATGGGTCACGCAGTGATATTACTCAGAACAGTGATGCACTGGTGTAATATTACTACATTTCCTCTACTGTATTGTATCGATACTTCTTAATCAATACAGCAAATCACAGTACTTTTCCCTAATATTGTATTTTGAGCAATAATGCTCTGCAATAATCTGCTGAATATCAAACTGCATTTCCTCATTAATGATACGGTGGCAGCAAGTATCTGTGTTTTTATTCAAATTGGTACAAAACATTAATGAGGCGTGTAATTAACAGGTATCTAAGTGATTTTTTTTAATCAGTTCCAGTGTTATATTGCCGAACAAGAATGTTATTGCAGTTTTCCAGTGCCACTAAACAAAAGAAGCCCCCTGTGTATTTAAATCAGTTTATTAAGCTACAGCACACAGTAGCGCTGCGTTTAATCAGGCCGTTAGAAGAGTCACAGCTTCGAGTATTGCGGTTGTCTTGTACCTGCTGCCCTCAGCACCAGTGGCAGAGCTCTTATGTTTGCTTGTGTCTATTGGATGTATATCAGGGTTTCCTAATATGGAAACCAAATACTTGCTGGTCAGCCAAGGAAGAATTCGACCCAGGCAAGGCTGTTACACCAACGGGCCTCCAGAGTCTCAGGAAATCACATTCAGGACACATCCAGGAATATATTGGTCTCCTTAAAAAAAAAAATCCTTAATCATGATAATCCGAGGATTTTACCAAACACTACAGAGTGTTAGATAGTTGTTGCAGTGAAATGTTAACCCGTCTGCACCATCATATTAATTATGCAGCTACATTAAGAGCTCGCCAACTTAACTCTTGTCTCATCTGAATAGGAATATCAGAATTCAGAAAGCAATATCATACAGATACTTTAGGTCAAGACTTCCCAAATGTGACTCCTCACAGCACCTTTAATATAAATGCATATATATTATCCACTGCTGTGTAAGGACAGTTAATTACTGAAGAAACTTTGGGGGCATGAAACCCTGATTATGTCAGATTATCAACAGAGCAGTTTCAGGTTCTTCCAGGACTGTAACTTTTAGGCCTCAGTCGCTCTATTCTTATTAATATTATTGTTGTTATTATTATTTTATTCTTTATTGACACGTGCTCTTAGACACTTTGAAAACAGATGGTACACTGTTGAGAGCTCATTCCCAAAGCACTATTTATCTATTTCCCTGAAGTCCAGTCTCTCTACAGTGTGGAGCATCCTGTCTATTAAATGTTTTATTTATCAACCAGGGACTGAAGTGACCTCCTGTGTTTCAAAGTACAATAAATTATTGAAAGTCTGTTTTAGCGGCAACTATGAAGAGAATACGGTTCTCCAAATATCTGATTTTAGAGTCAAACTCTTCTGTCTCAGTGCATGTCCCACAGCTGTGGAACTTTTTGTCATTAGTGTCTTGATTTTACTATCAATATTGGAGTACAGCCCACTTGCTAATGTAGCCCACGACATTTCCCCAGTGCCTGTCCTTAACTGTGAACTAAATGGTCCAGAGACATACAGTGAAGGAGTTCTGCCCTCTCACAGGAGTCTTAGTTCTCACTGGAAAATGAGAGCAAAGCCTTAAATTGGTCTCTAAAGCCGCTGAAAACGCTCCAAATATCTGCGGTCTGAGTTCGGATGGCTCAGTGGAATGATATCCTGAAAGCAGGGTTTGTACTTTTTCACGATTAGTCTCACCACAAGCCTGAAAAATCTTGGAGAACGGAAGATAACGCCTTAGCTTTTTTTGGTCAGTTTGCCTCAAAAGACTCCATTTTCGGAGACAGAACTCTTCGCTGCGTGGCTCTGGGGAGAGCGAGGTGGTAATTAAACACTTGGTACCAGTTGTAAGGCGCTCTGCAGCTCTTTTTATGCTTTCGGGTTCTAGATGTTACAGAAACATGACAGGAACTTATATATTTTTTTGTACAAATGTGACAAAAATTATGGCTGAAAACAGAAGTCTTCAGGGGCTAGCGTTGTTTTCACAGAGTTTATTTATCTCATTTTGTTCTGTTATTTTTAACTGTCAACACTGTAGTGTACATAAGAAGTTTTGTAAAGAGGAAAAAAAACTTGTAGTGTGGTTTCTACTTTAAATATGAGCCTAGCTAATAAAAGGTTCAATGGATGAAAAATGTTGTGGTCAGAACTGGTTCTTATTGGGGGTTAAAAATGCACATATTCAAAAAAATGTAAACTGATATTAATTTAGATGTGTTGTCATGACAACATTTAAGCATATTGGAAACGGGTTTCGATGCCAACATGAGAAACAATTTTCAAAAAAGTGTGGAATAAAGTCCAGCACCTGACGTAAACGGACCCAACAAATCGGTTCAAGTGGATCCATAAAGATCGATTCAAGTTAACTCAATCAGGCTAATTCGATCCAGGTCCAACTATGTGAGTTAATTGCAGCCCGAGAGTTCAAACATGGATCAAATTGATCCACTTTGGAAAACAGCAGTGGTGCAGAGAGAGTGGCGCTTACTATTGGAAACAGACAAAGAATTTAAACATCTAATAACCAGAAAAGGCCATACAGCTGCAGGAACGTTGACACAGGCTGCAAGAAATTACTGGTCGATTGAACATATATATATGCATCATCTGTTTAACAAGAAATGTCCATGACTCTACTTATTCTGCACTTCATAAATGAAAAGAAACACCACGATTGACAAAGACCAACATGAGTTTAGGTCCTTATTTCTAGACTTAACAAACCATCTGCCAGTTAACCACTTCTAGTTTTACTTTTCTGATATTGTTGTCGACTTATTGCTCAATACATTTTTAAACATGGTTTCCTGTTGTGAAATGAATTTAAGTACTACATTTGTGTTCAGTATAGTCTCACTTTTTGCATATTTTGTACTGTTAACTGTTTGTGTGGCTCTTGTCATGCTATTATAGTCATTTAAGCCTAGATGTTCAGTATCGTGTACATTTTTATCATTTATCATTATGTCATTTTTTAAACGTTATTTATTTGGTTGTTGGTTTTCTTTAAACTTCCATTTTTGACTGATGCAGGTTAACAAAGTCAACTAATCGGCCTGCACCGGTGTTATAGGAGCTCTGGTTAAGCAACAACTCAGGCTTTAACCTGCCCTGAACCAGGTTAGTTTAACAGTATAAGTTTATTAGTAACTGTGGTGAATTTGTCAAAGGAGCTTCAGTAAAACACAACTGAAGCCTCCAAGGATTACCATGACCTGGATGACTAAGAATCTACACATATGTTGAATTTGTGAAACCGAAATAACCTCAAAATAATCCAGACCAACTGAAACAAGCCTGGCTTATTTGGTCAGCTCCCTTTATGGAGACGTTCTTTTACAGCATTCTTCTGATCAACAGTTGGTTGCAGCGTTGCACCAGCGAAGAAGACAGCAAGCAGGTAAGCATGAATATAATACTAGATTTGAAATGCTTTGAAAATAGACTTTATATGTGTCTTAAGAGCAAGGAAACACACTCATTATGGTTGTTAGAACTTGAGGAAACCTGAGTGCAAACAAAGTTTTTGTTTAGTTACTAGAAAACTCCACAGGGCACCATTTAAACCTGCAGTACCTGAAGTTTTTTAGTCACTTGGGAGGGATGTGGAAACAAACTTATATCACTTTTTAGAATAATATGCTGAAGATGTTACTAAACAGTGGGACTTTTTTATTTTTAATTTTTTTGACAGTCTGCTGTGGCCAGTGAACTAAAACTGAGAGATCTGGGCCAGAAAATCAAAACATGATGCTTTAACTGTAAAACCAAAGAGTCTGGTGATGGTTATCTGTGTTCTTTGACTATAATTGACTTTTTATCACATAAAAGCAGCAATGTGATCCATTACTAGGATAAAATATTGATGATAGCTGTTGTTCTCTGGTAACCTTACAAGCACCTCTCCGCACTTTAAATTGTATCCTTGTGTTTGTAAGTGTGGCTGCTTGAGCTAAAGACACCTGTCTGACTTTTAAAGGGCACCAAACAGCCTTTTTCTTTTCTTTTTTCCCCCTAGTTTGATGTGTAAAACTCTTGCTCCACCTCTGTCAGCTGTATACCTGCCTGTGTTTTCTTGCTCCGTGTCGGTGTTATGCAAGCCACCCCCTCACTGCAGTCTGCAGCAATGAGCTCAGCACTTTTAACAGGCCACATCTGAGCAGACACCACAATGCAGTGGCCCCATAATTCAGGGCTGGTGTGTGTCAGGTCAAATACAGCTCAAAAACAGCCCTTTCCCTCTATTTTCATCCCTTCGTGCCAGAGGAGCTCAGCTGACCTTTGCAGTGTGAGTGGGAGCGAGGCAGGAAGCTGGAGCGCAGACAAAGAAATGATTTTTGGAGGGAACGCTTGGAAAAACCTTGAACGTTGAATGACTGGATGCAGTCTTTGAGCGTGCATCACTCGCTGCTTCACAAATCCCATGCAGTTGTATACAAGTATCCGATGCTGGAAAACGGCCCCTGTGACAGACACTGTTATATATGACTTGTTAAATTGTGAAAACAGATGCATCATTGCTCTCCCCTCATTTTGGAACTAGTTTTACTACTTAATATACAGTTAGTTTGGCCTGTGGTTCCCGACCAAGGGCTCATTACCTCCTTTAAAAGGTCACATAATATGAGAGGTTTTGTGTTGATTAATGGGGTGCAAAAGAAGAAGAAAAAAAGAATCATTTTTCATCTTCAAGACTTAAACTGTTATTAAATGGAGCCATCTGAGTAGAGTGGAAATCCTTCTTTTGGTCACAGCCAAAATGATAGAACAGCATTTTCCAACTCTGTCCATGAGTTCTTGAATTCAAGAAGCCTCTGACTGGGCCACTCCAGAACAATCACCATGTTGTCTTTACACAGAAACGGTTCAAAGAGAACATTCACCATGTTCTCGTTAAACCATTTCCGCATATCTTTGGCTGAATTTTTCCAGTTATAGCTGGAAAACAAATCTTCTCTCAAGTCACAGTTCTCCTGCAGACTGCATCAGGATGTCCTCCAGGATTTCCCTATACTGCATTTTCATTTTACCCTCTACCTTGAGAAGTCTTCCAGGACCAGCTGCCGAAAAACATCTCCATCATGATGCTGCCACCACCGTGCTTCACTGTGGGGATGGTGTGTTTGTGATGATGTGTAGCATAACATCATCTGATGTCCAAAAAGATCAATTATGGTGTCATCAGACCAAAGTATTGTCTTCCAGTTGACTTTAGAGTCTCACATCTGCTTTCTGGCAAACTGTAGTTGCGATTTAGAAGTTTTTTTTCCTAATTGCTTTTTTTTTCCCTATCTTTGTATCACTGGTGGTGAAGAACAGGCAACACTCAATCACTGAAGCTTATAATTTTTAAGAGGGATCATCTTGTCTCGGTTGCCTCCCTCGCTAGTCTCTCAAGCGATCTCTCAGTTCTTGAGGATGCCACATGTGCAACGAATTAGAAACTAGTAACATTAGAAACTAAATTTGTAACTGTGTCCTGTATTTTACGAGTTCATTTCCTGTTTTATGGTTAAAACCTTTGTATGGCAATTAACGTGTAATTTTAGCTTTTGTGGCGTTGTAGCATAAAAATGAAAATACAGGTATTTTAAGGTTGCCCTTAAGTAGAAGTAATATAATGAATTTCTGTGGTTGTTTCTACTATTAGGGGCATGATACAATACATATCATCACTATAGATTTTCTTTGATTACAGTAGCATCATGATACCTGGAGTGTGCGATACACTGCAAAACAATTATCCACAATACATTATGATATGTGAAGAAAATACGTCCTCAAAAAGATGGAAAGTGCCATTATGTAGTTATTCACTACATTATGTTGTCAGTGAGTGTGTATTATCATGAATATTCAGTGTGATTAGTGTTAATTTTCCTTATTGCAGGTGCAGGTGCAGACTGGTTGTGGGAATCCATTAAAAATGTCTAAGTTTAAATTAAAAGATCAGTAATTTACACCATCCATCCATTATCTATACACCACTTTATCCTGGAGTCTATCCCAGCTGACTCAGAGTGAAGACAGGGGACACCCTGGACAGGTCACCAGTCTATCACAGGGCTACACTTAGAGACAGACAACCAAGCACACTCACATTCACGACAATTTAGAATCACCAATTAACCTCAACATGTTTTTGGACTGTGTGGGAGGAAGCCGGAGAACCCGGAGAGAACCCACACTGAACGGGGAGAACATGCAAACTCCACGCAGAAAGATTCCGGTACCCCCACCAGGACGCGAATCGGCAACCTTCTTGCTGCGAGGCAGCAGTGCTAACCACAGCGCCACCCTGCAGCCCTAATTTACACCAATGTATTGATAACATATCATAAGACAACGTGGTATTTTGTCCCACCCTTGCTGCACATTATAGCACTGAGAGATTAGTGTAGTCGAACTAAAGTAAAAGTTCGCAACAATAGCAGCTTGCATGAACTGCCTTACTATTATATACATAAGATTTACTGTAAAATATATTTGTGTCATGCATGTGTTTAATAATCTGGTCAAGCATTTGCTGCACAGCTTATCCCATTCACTCCCGACCTGTTTCCACTGTTTCTGCATAAACACCGGACTCTCTCTGGTGAAGTGACTTGCAGGCCCTTGAAGTCTTCAGCGAGTTATTTTTCTCCCTGGTTTCAGTTCCTGTCGTGCAGTTTTCCTGCCACTGTTGCGAGACTGAAAAAACAGCTGCACGTCTGAGTGCTAAAATCCAGTCAAACCATAAATTATTACAGAATTTGAAGTGTTATATAATAGCACGATAAACTTGCGTGTGCATGTCAGAGGAGCTGAGTTGTCCTCTTTAAGTACAGACGCACTCATTGCTGTTGTTTTTTAAAAAAAATTTTTGGCTGCTTTACAGTTCAGTTCAGGTCACGTCTCAGCAGGATTTTCCCGAATCACAATACTTTGCTTCACAAGGTCCATCCATCCATTTTCTATACACCGTTTAATCCTCACTAGGGCCACGGGGGGCTGGACTCTATCTCAGCTGACTTAGGGTGAAGGCAGAGGACACCCTGGACAGGTCACCAGTCTATCACAGGGCTACACTTAGAGACAGACAACCAAGCACACTCACATTACGGACAATTTAGAATCACCAATTAACCTCAACATGTTTTTGGACCTTGTGGGACGAAGCCAGAGAACCTGGACAGAACGCACACTGCATGGGGAAAACATGCACACTCCACGCAGAAAGGATGTCCTCACCGGGATGTGAACCGGCGACCTTCTAGCTGCGAGGCAACAGTACTAACCACCGAACCACCTTTTCACAAGGTCTGTGATCCTTAAGTTTGGCAACATTTACATGTGAACTGGTACTCTTGTTACTTATTGTTTTAGCATCTTCATGAAGACTTGAGATGAATGCCCCAAAATGTGATGTAAACTGGTCGTTTATTATTACATTATAACACATGCATGCAATTTCAGAACACTTTCTTTTCAATAGAGTGCAAAATAATGTAAAGAATGCATTTGAAACAATGGCACAAAATTAATTTTGCTCATGCAGAGCCGGCTGTAAAGTCGGAATATGAAACAGTGGCACAACAACAATAGAAAATCTGCAGCCCTGTTTAGCCCTGTGTGACAGTTTGATTCAGTTTACAGCTCAACAATTAAACCTCTGTAGGAATGTGATTAAATTAATATAACTCATGGGGAAGCTTTGTCTTATTGACCTTGGACTTTAGTGTGAGTGCAGAGACAGACTAAGAGCTTACTGACTTTAATGGGACACATGATGATTTACAGAATACAAAAGAGACCTTGTCCGAGGCCGAGGGGAGTAGCCGGCGGAAAAGAGAATATCAGATGTCCAAGTTATTTATTTCTTTGTGTGGTGCTTGCAGCCAAACTTGCAGTTGTCATGAACACTTTTGAAATTAATTTATAACTGGGGGGAAAAAAAAAAAGGCAAACTACTCTAGGAGCAAGTAAAAGTGTCTGTGCATAAATGCAGCCACACAGCATCTAAAACATATAAAACAAAACTTCCACTCTGCGATCTGGTAGTTATGCTTAAACACAGGACGCAGAGTCAAAAATCCCCATTCACTTCCTCACTGAGGGATTTTTTCTTCTTTTTACAACAGCAGCTGTGGTCGCTTATATACAGTAAAAATAAACACTAGAAAACAATACTGGACATCTTGACTTCAAAACAAAACTGAGCATAAGAGGATGTTAATGTTTTTTTTTCCAGTGTTTGCTTCACAGTAGTCTCACAGATTCAGCTGCTAAAGAAAACAGAGCCACTTTTGAGCTGTTCTGACTGTTTTAAATGAATTCACTAGCAGCCCTTCTTTGACACAAACGGCAGAGTCCCAGCTCTGCCGAAGCCCAGCACCGTCCGCCGAGGTCTGAGGTCTACCATTTAAGTCTCTTGTAATGAAGATGAATACAAATGACAGAGATGAGGATCTGACTCTTCCTCCAGACTGAGTCATCTCTGGGAACATAAATAGGCAATGTTACAAAGTCGTGGCCGCACAAACACAAATCACCTGTTGCCATACTTTTACAAAGGTTTGTCGTCGGCGCGATGCTTCATGCTGCGGTTTTAAACAGCTGTCTGATCCTTCTCAAGCCTCTCTCCTCTCAGGAAAGATGTTCAGCCCCAGTTCAACCAGTGCTCCCACCAACATGGTCCACAGCGGGATGCACACAAACGTCAGCTTTACGTCGGCCAGCTTTTCCAGCTTGGCGCACAGCGTCAGGCAGAAGCCCAGCTTGAGCAGCATGGCCGTCAGGTACCAGGTACGCAGCCGCAGGTCTGGGGAGCCGTTGCGAGGATCGTACCCGGGCTTGCAGCGGCCCGCCATCTTGATGGCGAGCATGAGGATGAGGATGCCATCGAAGACCCAGACGGGGAGGAAGATGAGGAACCAGTTCCACTGCACCTGGAGGGAGAAAAAAGAGATGAGGATGGCAGTCACAGAACAAAGGCTTTTATCCACTTTGAATATCATGTGTTGATTCATTGACATTGGTCTGTTTGGAATGATTACAAATCGGAAACAGAGCACTTGTGATGATTTTCGTAAATCCTGTGAGAGAAATCCATTTATATTATTTCAGACAACTTAAACAAACATATCCTGCTACACATCATGCTTTTTGATACGAAAAGTTGCACAGTTTCCTTTTTCTGTGGCCAATCTACAGAAGTAGAAGTAGTAGTCTGATATAATTTACTGTGAATTAAGGGTTCTTTGGTACACTGGGTTGTTTTTCTAACTTTATTCACAAGACACAGAGTTTGCTGGCATCCAGATTCCACATGTGCAAGCAAAATGAGCAAGAAATTGGGGAGAAACCCTTTAAAAGGAAGATTTGGCTGCAAAAACAAATGCCACGCTAGTTGTACGGCTGCACAATTAATGGAATATGAACTGCAGTCATGACATTGGCTTCTCAGGATTAAATGAACATGATCGACTGTGATGCCGACGTTGAGAATGCTCTGCTCACAGAAGACAGCTCATGTTGGTAAAATCACTTGGTAGATCTTGGATGTCTCATTTCACCCTTTTAAAAGCAATTCTTGGTCACACTTATCACTTAATTGAGTGGAGACTGGAGGCCTGTGCACGGCCGATTAGCAGTAGCCTACTGTATCCTTTATGTCAGTTGTTTAGGGAACATTAGTAAATTGTAGTGTCTGTCAGTAAGCATGTGTTCATCAAGTGAAGCATTCAGAGTGCAGTTTCATTGTGCACCAAATTCAGGTGGAGAGGAACCATGTTTTAGGTCATATGCAGATTTCCAGGAATGTAGCACGACATGGAAGTGAAAGCAGTGTTCTGTTTATCCAATGTGAAAGTGTAACAAAAAAACATTTACCCTCTAAAATCAATAAATAGTTGTGATATAACAGGCTAATTGTCCAAACGATTGTGATGATCATTTTGGTCATCATCACGCAGACTTAGTCGGCTGTTTGGAAATATTTCAGCTGCAGAGAGGATGACATTGACTAAAAACAGGTACTCCGTCAGCAGCGTCTTGCACTGCACAAGGCGGGACAACTAATTTGTTTGTCATTTTTCAGCTTTTTTTAAAAACATTTTTTATTTTCTATGCAGACACAGTCCCTTACAAAATCTCCTCAATCATTCGAGAATGATTCAGTCTTGTCTGAAGAGCGATTCCAGCGTTGTGGTGAAAATTCCTGGATTTTTTTCATTTTGCAGAAAAGCAAGAAGTTGCATTGTCAGTTCTTTCAAATCTCATACAACCCTAAAATGGATCACTGCAGCAGAAAAGCATTGAATGGAAAGAAAGAACAGCAAGAAGCCACAAAATGCTTTCATCTTAATTAAGTCACTTGACTTTAATCAAATTGGTGGCTAATAGGACAATAAAAAAAACTGTTACCTTCCCATCCAGTTTGAGTACCAGCATGATGAGGAAAACCAGGGTGAAGACCCAGGTCAGAAGAACCCTCTGAGCCAGAGACATGTCACTGACTGCAGACACAGATGATCAGAGGAGGCTACAAACAGAAGCTACACAGACCAAACATCCACGGGACAGAAATACAACAGAGGTTAGAAATACATGCCAAATTATGACTATTTGGGTGCAGTAGCAAGAAAATTTGCATATAAGAATAGACAAGAAGGTTGGAATAGGAACTAATAGTCATAATTCACGTGTCAGTTATAGGAGTGTTAACTGTATTTCGCTGAAAATGGCTGGAAGCAATTTGAAATATTATTTTTCATTCATTTTCAGGTCAGTTAGCAGATGACAGCTAGCTACATAGCATTTTTGCTAATCGGCTGGTTGACAGCTATCCGACTTACTTCAGTGTGTTTCCAGCTTGGGGCCCAGCATCTCCTTCTCCCTGCGAGCCTCGCGTTAATATTCACATGGTGTTTCTTATAAAAAGTCACATATTTATCCACAGACGCTAACAACAACAGACGGAGGGATTTCTGGTCCGTTATCTGAGCTCATCCCGCCCCTCCTGCGAGCCTATTGGCCCTCGTTCCCATTTCCTTCACGTCCATCAATTTAACCGTAAAGGTCTTGCAAAAGCGCAAACTAAGACGTTTTCCTGTGGTGCGTTTTCACGTCCACTAGAGGTGAGTAAAGTTCTTTCTAATTCTGTCAGTGGTTGTGATAATATCGAGATTCGCCGTGCTTCTATGTGAAAAGGCGACTTTGAGCTGTTTTGTTTTTCGCTTTTATCTTGTTTTTTGGTGTGTTATGTGAGACAGCAGCTGGTTATTTTTTTACTCTTTGCTAACCATCGGTGACAGCTACTAGCTTAAAATGTAGCTGCGCCTGTACACTGTGGTTTACGGTCGCGGGGCTGGAGTAGTATTTTTTTTTTTTTTTTTTTTTACAGTGAACGACAGAAAGGGAAAAGCTAATGCTTCAAACAGCGGCGAGCAGACACTCAGCATCTCCTCCAGACAATGGACCGGGCTGGCGAGCTCACTTCACTGTAAACCACGTCTAGGAAGCGCACTTCGGCTCTGTGTGGGGGACTTGGAGCGGCCGTCGCGGTTCGAGGAGGTAAGACTGAGCGCGGTCCGTTTGGACAGCTCTAATCAGGTATTAGACACAGCTGTCGGGCTCTTTGTGCCTGCCGGTAGCTTAGCTAACTTCAGCTAGCAGCAGCAGCATTAGGAGGAGGAGGAGGAGGAGGTCTGTGCGTGTGTGAAGCTACTGAACTGTGAAGACTGTCTGAAAACACCGTGTCCAACTACATGCCAGCTAGCTTCAAAATTAGCTGCCTTTAAAGTAATTTATAGCGCAGCACAGGTCATGTCCTTGTATGGAGTGAAACACAGCAACACCTCCTCCAACACATGAGGATATGCTATAGTTTACTACAACACTTGAGCACTGCTGACATGCTTGACACTAATACACTTAAAACCTTTACAGTTTATGTCCTCTAACTACTCATCCACTTCTCTATGTACTCTAAACGTTTTAATCCATCCAGTTAAATTTCACGAGGGCTACAAGTCACCATTATTTTCCTTGCAGGATTTGTGTTTCATAGCCAAGGTGGGCAAATAATAGGAGAATCAATGCATTTTAAAACATAACGTGCCATAAACTTCAGCATCACCAAGCAGAGGTGCTATTGCACGCAGCATATGCCCATATAATGATGTGGCTTTTGATTAGGCAATTTATCTGTGTGTGATTGTTGCCATGTGTACAAAAACTTGCTCCAAACAAATTGCCACTTGTGGGATTGATAAAGTTTTCGTGTTGCGTAAGGATCTGGTTGATTTACCCCTTAGGCGAAACTATTTCTGGTTCTCGCTGTGGCTCTCCACAAATCAAAATTGCTGCATAGCTGGGAGAAATGTTGACCTTCCAGGCCCCTAAGTAATTTCATTGCAAGGTTTTCTGCTGCATTTTACAGAGATGCTTGGCAAGCACAAGGGAAAGAAACACTAGCCTTCAAGTTAGACAAGCAAAGGTGCAATTTCACAGGGCATGTACCGTGTATATGTACAAATGATGTGCATGGCTGGAAAAAAAATTTAGATTGCTTCTACTCCAGCAGACCTGTTCATCCAAGAGGCTCTCCAGCTCAGCTAAATCATTCCCTACATGAGTGACTTTTAATTATCAGCCCTTCATTAATCGACTAATCGTTTGAGTTCCGCTCTGCTAATCTGAATCACTAGCATTTATCTGTTTCTAATATCTATAGCCTCTACCTATCTTGTGCCACTGAAGGGAAAGCGTCGCAGGCTTCAGCGGGCGGTCAGGCTCACAGTTTGGCAGGCGCTCCCATTATCCAACATGTTTACCATCGAGCCAGTCTGTCTGTTCCAGTGTCTGACTAACACTGTCATCACTCAACCAGATTTTCTTCTGCAGTAATAATTGAACCCCTAATGAAACCTTTGGCTGTTAAGGTTTTTAAAAATCCCTTTTTTTTTCTGTCAGCTAATAGATCTCGCAGAACACGTGCATTTCGTATTAATCAGAATATGTCCTTACAAGTCAAAGAACCTCAAGCCTATCGGGTTCCGTCTGAGCAGTAAATCCTGCCATAAAACAATGACAGCAGGAGAAATGATCATCTGCAGTATCATCTACTGCAGCAGCTGTTTGACTCGACTGTGTTTGAGCTGTGGCCAAGAATTTAATGTTTGTTTCACTTGGGTGCAGTCAGGTATGCAGGTTAGCAAGTATAGTAGCGCTTTGTAATGAGTGCTAGTGGCTTTGAATATTTCATGTAGTTTTCTGCTTCTAAAATTAAGCTTCAGGAATATCACTGTAATACAACAACAACACCACCCGTTTAATTCCACTTAGGCTGGTTGTGAGTCCCTGACTGTTACTGGGGTAGATCCACCTGCATATCTTATTTACAGTTTTTCCAAGCAACTAGGAGATGCTTTTGCCACAGTTGGTTAATGAACCCCGAAACCTGCCAGCAAGTTGCAGGAAACGTTGTCTTTTTAAAATCCCCCAAATTGCTCCATTATTAGAAAGATTTCCTTGATTCCGATGGCCCTTGGGCATTCTCATGTAATCGGGAAATTAACCAAATCTAAACCAAGTATTGGGATATTTTATCATATTTACATTATTCTGCATGTCCCTCTCTTAAATGTGGCAAAAGCTAATCACTTGCTTTAACCACATTCTGTAAAAAACAAAAAATTTTGCCCTCCTCGGTGCAACCGAGAAGCCAAGACTGGTTGAGCTGTGACCAAAAGTCTTGGGACAAAAACTCACTTTTCGTCTGAACTGCAGACTGTGTTTATGCAAAACACAGAGAAAAAAAAAAGTATAGAAAGTCACCATTTTTTTCTAGTTTTTGTAACACCTGTGGGCGCTTGGAAAAATGTTAATAATCAAAGAAAATCAGAATCTTTCGTTTTATGATTTATGGCAATATAACTGTCATACTGCACAAAATATATTTTGTAGTTCCTGTTGCTTCTAGCCATGTTTGTTCTGTTTCCATGGAGGTGCAGGACTTTAGATTGCAGTGAAAAATGAGCCCACCGTGAGTAATAATGTGACAGGAGCTGAAAGTGCTCAGGAATTGCTTAGGGTTCAGAGGGTTTACAGAAATAATATATGCAGTCATTTTTTATTCAGAACGATTCAGTACACTCATCGACTAGCAGTAGTGTACAGATGAGCATAATAACATACCACAGTGCACAGATAGTTTAAAACCACTCATTGTATTAGAAGTTATGTGATGCTCTTAAGCAAGGCACTTCAGGTGCATGTCAGCCTTCCTCACTGCTGGGCCTCCGAGGGCACTTGGCAAAGATTTGCAAATCAGTAGTGTGTTTGTTGACAGAAGGGAGATGAGCAGTGATATAACCTTTGCTGCGTCTTGCATGTTCACAAGTCCAGTGTTGTGTTACACACAGCTGTTGTCTACAGACATGGGATTCCCAGGACGCTCCTCACTCACACCTGCACTTCCATACGCTGGGGATCAACTACACAAAGCGCGTGTCTTTAAGACAGTGATTGATCATCTGCTAGGCCAGTAGTACTTGTCTGTCAGTGTGGCTGTGCAGCGGTTCTGCAGTGTTCACCAACTGGATGTCAAACAGTGCATTATAGTGTGTGTTTGTACACAAAGTGAGTTGCAGAGGATGACTGCCAGATTAAATGACCTTGTGCATGCTTCTTTGTATCTCTTGTTGCCTCTGTCTTTCTCTCTCACCCGTCGTATTCTCTCTCTGTTTCTCTTCTTGTCTCCCTTTATCCATCTCTGAGTGTGTCCCAGACAATGCATTGCTTTTTGTGTTGTGCAGCTTGAATCTGCCTGCAGAGCTGGTTACATCATCAGCTGCAATACAGTTACATCACACACTAGACTGCCGTATCATTTTATGTTGCAGTGGCAGGACGGCCTGCAGCGTTGTGATATAATTTATAGAAATATGGCCATTGCAGTATTAAGTGCAGGCAGAAGGGTCGCAGGGAAAGGTCAGGTGACCTCACAGTCGCTGGACAAATTCTATGTGACCAGCTCAGCTGTACTGCAGTAGAACTAAATAGGTTCTGGTAGACTGAGTTAATACGCTCATTTGAGATTAACTGGCCTGGGAAGTGGTCAAGAGCAGACAGCAACAAGGGGCCGTGTTCAGACTGACAGCTTCCAACAGTCTGTACAAGATGTCACAGAAACACTCACAACTTACTGTATCCGAACCTTCTTTAATAACATAACGTAAAGTAGAAAAAAACCTATTTAATCACAGAGGAAATCCTTGTTCTATAAACACCTAGTGGAAGAATATTATACTATAAATCCTTTCAATAAATGCAAAAAGAGAGTAACTGCATATCAATTTTGTCACATATCAGGTTAGACTAATGCAAAAATGTTATCAGACCAACCTGTTCAGACTCTGCTCAGACTCCAGTTGTAGTTGTTCTAATTATTATCTTATGTGTGGCACTTTGAACTGACTGTCTGGGTGTTTTTTTTTTCCTCCTGTTACATTTTTTCTCACTGTGAGTTCATGTTTCACTGCAATATGAATTTGTACATCTCTATGGGGACGGCAAGGCATAGCTTAAAGTAGAGAAAACTCAGAAGTATCTTGTGTTTATGATGATGCAGCAATAATGCCATAAATCATAAAAAACAACTGTTGAGTTTCTTTATTACCTTTACAAATTAAAAAAAAATGAAATCAGCATGCACAACAGCTTCCCTTGTGCCCACAAACATTACCAATGCTGAAAAACATGGCGACTTCACATACTAGAGATGTTTTACTTTACTTATTTTAATTTGTGTCCTTTCATGTTTCCTTCCTGCTCAGTGTTCATACAGTCTGCAGTTCAGCTCAAAGTTCTTGACATTTTTGTCACGTGCCTGTTGGACACGGTACCTACTGACTTCATAGTTGCCTCGAAGAATGTAGAATTTTGTGTGTGTCCGTAGTGAGATTTGTCAATGTGTAAAAAGATCTGTAAACGCATACAAAGATATTAATCGAGGAAAAGTCTAAGTCTTTGGCTACAAGTGCTGGAAATACAGACAAATCACAAGTTACAGGTCAAGCAGGCCTCACATTTGTCACAGTCTTTTTACATGTGACTTCTGCGGTGAGAGATGTGTATCTGTAACTTCAGGGTGTCTGTGTCCTGAGCTCAGGTTCATTCATTCTGGCTGCGTACCGCTCTGCAGCTCTGTACCTCAGTTGTTATACCGCCTGCAAGCCATCATGTAAGTTTTATGCTCAGCAACCCACAAACTCGGCAAATTTAACTTGTTCACATATACCAGACAATGTCGTCCTCAAAGATTCTGTGGGATAGCGCCACCTGATGGCTTGCAGGTGGCATAACTACTGATGTACAGAGCAGCAGAGTGGTACGCAACTATAATGAACGAGCCTGTAAGCCTGAGTTCAGGGCAAAGAAACCCTGAAGTTACAGATACAAATCTCTCACTGAGAAGTGCAGCAAAAGTAATGTGTAAAAGACAGACAACTGTGAGGCCTGCTTCACTTGTAACTGGTGATTTTAACTGCATGTCTGGCACTTGTAGCCAAATACTTAGACGTTTCATCTATTAATATCTTTGTACACATTTACAGATCATTTACAAATCTTTTACAAATCTTTTCACACATTGACACATCTCACTACAGACACACAGATTGAGATACAGACACACAACTCTCGATACACATTTACAAATAGTTTTGGTACAATAATACCCCTGTACATTTATGTTTGGTGGATTTTTAAATTATTTTTAAAGGAATTTTGATAAAATATTATGTTCTGGTAGTTTTTTCTGTTTTTACAAATTTGGCCTAATGGCATTTATTTTTCTCCTTCTTTCTTTCTTTCTTTCTTTTTTTTTTTTTAAAGAGAACTTGCCTTTGAAACCTACCAGTGGATTTGAGGAGGTTTTCAATTTGTTTAGTAGCTTTTCAAAGCATCATCTGTCACTTTATTATGGCATAGGCTTTATAATGATGTAACAATTTAATCATGTATTATATTATTATATAAAACGTTTATTTTCTGGGGCAGATGCATTTATATGAAAGTGCGTTTGTGTTTTAATTGTCTTAAATCCTCCCTGAATAGCACATTGATGTGACAGTAGAGCTCACTGAAGGTCATGCTGAGGCGTTAGCTTTGAGGAATAACTTCAGGAGACATGCTGTGACTTTGTATTACAGATTACCTGCCATGTTGGGCCGTCATTATCAAGAAGGTCACTCTGAAAGATAATTGATGGTGATAAAGATAGTGATGTTTATGATGGTGGTTGTGATGATGGTGGTCAGTCTCCTGGCTTTCTACAGCAGCAGTGTTGGGTTAACTATTGGGATCCTTCGCTGCCTGGTGTTAATCATTACCTTTTCTGAGAATTCATACTGCGTCTAGAGGCAGCCTGTCTGTGTGTGTGTGTGTGCTTTTGAAGCTCAGCAAATGACACATGCTGCTTTTAAAACTGCAGCCTCATTACAAGGACCCGTACCAAAGCCCAATTACATGGTGCTCAGGAAGCACTCACACACACTAAAACCCTCTTTTCACAGAGAAATTTGAGGTAGCTATTAGTCTGACTGACCAAAAGTGAGCTTCTCTTTCCTGAATGACTGGCGTCTCCAGTATGCGAGAGCCTGGCACGCACACAAACACATACATGCTGCTGTTGGTGTTTTGAAATGCCTTCATCTCAGGCCAAACACAGTCTGAAGCATCTTTCTCCTTTGTTTCCTCAATGTCCAGCTCCTGCAGTAATTTGGCCGTGAGGACGAACCACCAGTCAGCTACACGGCCGGACCAGAGGTGAGTCCTGTGCATGAATGCATTGTGTGTTTACTAGTGTGCAGCCCCCCACCCCGAGCTGCACACAGACTGTTTTTGTTTGTCTGTTGCATGCTTCAACACCCCGTGTTGTGTTGCTGTGAGGGTGTCAGCTGCCTCCCCCCCGCACACACACACAGAGCCGCTCTGCTCAGACAGCAGCAGTCCGGTTCACCATGTCTGAAAGAGAAAGACAGATGGAAAAATATGAGAATGTGAAAAAAGACATACTTCCCCTTTAAAGAGTGCACACAGGGACTTTTTTTTTTTTAGCATGTCTGTGTTCGTGCATGCTGGACTGTGAAGTTGTCTGCAGTCTGTCTTGGTTTTTTCAGTTCATCTGTGGGTACGGGGGTTTCCTGTCCAACACAACACTTAGTATTCTGCACAATCACATCACACACTATTACTTTCTGCTCATTGGATCTTTTTTACCGAATGTACACATCTGATAAAACTTCCATTTCAGACTTGCATATAAAATGATTCAACTCGTAGCAGCTAATTAGAAATCTTGGTTACCCTTCGAGTAGTGAGGTTACGTCTGTTTCATGCTTCATTTTGCATTATAAAAGGATTTATTCAAGGTAAATTATCTTAATTGCTAATGAGCTATGTTTTCATTATAGAACTTCTACGTGATGGACCTTAAATCAAACAGACACAGATTAAGCTAGAATTTAACCTCTAATTGGTCTCCCACACCTTTCTGGAATCTGTCGTTTGACCTTTGGGTTAACGAGGGTCACAACACCTAATTACCGGCTCCAACAATCCACACTCAGCTGGTCAAATGGATTTCTGTCATGCCAGAAATTCTTGTTAGCTGTCTCGCAGTTTGAGCTTTTCCACAGTCCGACTTCCCACATGACTGTCACCAAAGATTACTTACCAAGTGCTCAATGTCGTTCAGCTGCCTCTCCAGCGGGGGTCGACTGATATGGGTTTGTCAGGGCCGATACTTGATAGTAATCTAGAGGAATAACATCTGATATTTGAAAGATATACTTTTGCAGTAAAAATGCAAATTATAGTGTCAAAATGTAGAATAACAAAAACTCGCACACAAAACTTTGTTGATATGCCTTTGTTTATGTTTTCCATGTGTTTTGTTTAAAGGCTGAACTTTTCAGCGTTTAGCCTGCAGTGTTGATCGGCTTTTGCTTGTAGCCAATCAGGTCAAGGCCACAAAGTGACAGCAGGTAGTGACAGCTGCAACACGGCAAAAAAAACAACAACTAATATTTAAAAAAATATGTCAGATCCAGTATTCAGAATAAGCAGAATATCAGATGTAATATAGGGAGTGATGGTCTACCCAGTCTCTCCCTACTCTCCAGTGAGTATCTCGTCCTTCAGATAGACTCTTAACTCCACAGCCTTGGCCTGATGCCGGCATCCTTGTTCAGCTCTGTGAGAGATCTGCTGCAGGCTGGAGGGTAACTCCCACCAGAACCTGCAGCAGGTGGAGAACTGGTTTATGTACGTCTTGAGGCTTACTGAGACTGCAGAGCTAAACGAGGACAGCATAAAGCCTACCTGTGATCAGTTAGCCAGCTGCTCTCACCAGCTCCAGTCGGTGGAGTCTGTTGGATGAGAGGCTCAGACATGGAGGACAAGACATGGCGGGCTGGTGCGAGCTGGTTCGCAGCAGCTGAACTTTCAAAAGAAGCAACAGCCAGAATAGTCACTATTTCCATGCATAAACTTTCATAAGAAAATCCAAAATAGGATTTAGAGATTGGTAAATTGAACCTTTAGGCTTGTGTTGTAGAAACAGATTTTGTATCCAGGAAACCACATGCACAACTAATCATGTTGGTCACATGAGTTGAACTAAACTTGTTGGAGACTCGTAATTTAATCCGTGCATCATTCTGCCACAAAATGATATTGTCTGCATCTTCCAGCTACCTGCAGCTTTTTATAGATGTATTTATTCTCTCTCTGCACATGCTTGAATTACCAGTTAGTAATCCTGTTTTTCTCTTTGTCACATTTGTTCTGAATGTAGTCATCTTGTGAACTTACATAACCTTTTATTTGGTCATTGCCAGTGGACAACAACAATTGGCGGGTCCACATTCTGCATTCAAAGCTTCCATCTCCTTCTGTGTAAAAACAGTAATCTGCTAGCAATTTCATCATATATTGTAAGAAGTTGTTGCCTGACAAATGTTTAAGCTTCACAGTGGTGTTTGTGGTGTATGATGGGGGCTGGTCACGTAAACGTGAACGGCACAGTAAACTAGTTGGTGCATATGATGCTACCCAATCAGGCGATGTATAGGTCAAGTGTAGGGTTGTTTGGTGTCACTTGAGATTGTCAGGAAATCACCGTACATGATGAAAACATGATCCCAGCCTCCTTGTTTCACACAAACACTCTTTCTCTGAATCCCCCCCGGACACCTTCGACCCTTTTATCGACGACTGAGCAGCTTCGCATTTCCTGTAAACATGCAATGTACACACACACACACACACACACACACACACACTCACACACACGTGCCCCCTCACCCAGCTCAGAGAGGTAACCTGCTCCCATCATTAAAAATGAAGCACTCCGATAGAGAGAGAGCAGCTTGTGTTACACATCACGAGTTACCGGACTCATGGAGGAGGTCTCCACCTGTGCTCATGTTTTCATTAGACATCCCAAAGACACATAACACTGTTGTCAGTTTGTGTTTGAAGCAAAACGGATAGAAAACCAAGCTTTGTGCCCTCAAAAACTCTTCTATTTTATATTGCTGTCCTACTCCAATTTGTTCACCTACAAACCCAGCTTTGTGGTCAGTTCTCATAGAGATCAGTGCTTGACACAGTGTCAACAGTGTTGCTTAATGCTCCGTGCCAGCTAACCTTATCTCAACACCACTATCTGCTTTCCAAACCAAAGTTAGCAGCTCTTTTTTTCATGTACCAAGGATAAACAAGCAAAAGAATTTGTTTTCTTTTCTGTTTTGTGCAGTTGTTCTGGCAGCACCCAGCTGCTCTTGTCGAGGCTTACAGCAGATAGTGAGACATAAACTACATCTATCTAAGCTTTCCTGCCACATGTGTAGACAAAACATGTCAGATGAACTTTAAAAAGAGTCGTGACAGGCTTTAAATTTAATGAGACAAGAGCTTAACCAGCATGTAAAACCCTGATGTTGTTGTTGCAGTCGCATGGATGAACAGAGGTATATAGTTACACATCAGTGTTTAGGAAACACACACTGCATCAACTGACCTTCATTTGAGTTTCTTAAGCTCCACTGAACTCAAGATGCTTCAGCAGAAATGGTGTCATAAAAACTCAACACAGGTTGCACAATTACACCACGTATAAGAGACAGAAAGTGTAAAAACAGAAATAATTGTTGGATTTTCAACTTTTAAAGCAGTATTGGAAATTATTATGTGTGACTTTAGGTTTCATTGGGAAAGTCAACCCAACCAAAGCTTGGAATTATAATGTTGTTTGTTGCTGATTGTAACCAACAATCATGTGACAAAAATTAGGTAACTTTATGACTGAACTGCAGACTTTCAATTTTTAAAAATTAATTGTCAAATATTTGTATGTGGAGTTTTTGTAAGTCTTTGTAACACATGTGGATACTTCAAAAAATTGTTGTACAGGATGACTGCAGGTTTTTTATCTTTTGAAAAAATGGTATCCAAGAAGTTAAAGTTTTGTTGTTTCTTTTTTCTTATGATTTATGGAACTATAATTTAGTTTTTCACCACAAAACATATGTTTGACTTCTCTGTCCGTCTAGCCATTCTTGTGCTGTTTCTATAGAGGTGGAAGACTTTGGAAAATGAGTCCAGAGTGAGTGAAAGTGTGACAGGAGCAAAAGAAAGAAAAGCAGTAAGAGTTCAGAGGGTTCATTCAGGTGAGGCGTGATGCCTCCACATTAAAGCAATGTGGGGAAACCCTTCATGGAAAACTTTACATATCTTTGTTCAGCCTCTAAAGCTCCGTGGTGAGGAGTCGCACTAAAAGAACTTTAACTCAAGTTAGATTGCATATTTAGCTCAGTAACTACCTTAATCTTAAGTGGATTGTGCTTTTCTAATGAAGAAGAGAGAGGAGATAAAAGATTCAATAAGAGATTCCGTAAGAGTCTCAGCTTTACAAATTAAGTCTTTGAACAGCTTGGAAGTGAGTGCAGAATGCAGGCGTTATTGGAAACCAACCCCAGTCATTTGCAATGATGTGAGACTTTAAGAATAGAAAGCAAATCAGCGTGTGTGTGTGTGTTTGTGTCAATCAGTGTTGGAGAACGAATGAGAGTAGCTGTGAGGTGTCAGATTATAAAGTCAGAGGATGGCAGGTTGCATAACCAATTATGTAAAATGTTATGAGCATTGTAAAAAAGAAATCCTCATCACACACACACTTCCATGTACACACTCAGTTTCCATTAGACATGGTGGCACACAGTCACAGTCACCACACCCTCACTCTTAACAGTCATTCAGCTGCAGTGATTTTGTGTGTGTGTATGTGTGTGTTTCTGGGTGGAAAATACCAGCAAATGGAGAAGTTAGGATGTCAGAGAAATGGGCACACACACAGGGACAAACTAAGACACATACACAGAAAACTACACTGGACTTCTCAGAGGTGTTTGTGTGTATGTTTTCGGATATGTTGAATGAATTCTGTTATAGATTGTTGCACGTTTGTGTGCAGTTTCAGAGAGGAAGAGTTTCGGACTAGCGGTGGATTGTGCTTGCATGCAGTCATCTGACATTAGGTCGGTGATAGTCGATCTGAATAGGGATAAATGTACCCTAGGCCTTATGGTTGGGCAAGATGATAGTATGTACGTGGGTACTTCAGAAAGTTCTCTGCCTCACCAGAAAACATCACAGGAGAAAGATTGTTCTGGCATTATTTATAACTGCAATGCACTTGGTCAGGTGATGTTCAAGCTTCACTATCCCTTCGTGGAAGAAGTAGTTCACATCCTAAGCCTCCA